CAAATTATGAAATAAAAATGAAATTAAAATCAATTATTATTGTTTTACAGATATGATCCTATTGCAAGTGTCAAAAGTACTAACACGCCTTGGATCAACGTAACAACGTGCATCGACCAGATGACAAATCTTGGATTAAGTCCAAACATAGAATTAGGTATTTGCCCAGGATGCCTCTCGATGTATTGCAGAGCATGCGCTCGAGCGCAAGGAGAAGCGTTGCAGCAAATAGAAGGCTTATTAGCCAGATTAGAGGCAGCAGAAGCACTTTATCCTTCATCGCAAGCTTTCGCTGCCTATTATCCTTTGTATAAAAGTACTGAATTTACTGATAGAGTAAAAGCAATGTGTCTTTGGTATAATATGACTAAACACCATCGCCTCAAGTTACAAATACTGGGAAAATTACTTATGATGCTCCATACAAGGAAAAAGATTGATGATACCGGAGATTCTGGTATAAGGTACAATAGATAACGATTTTCAAAGTGAAAAAGTAAAGAATGTATATGTACATATTTGAAAGAAGAGTACAGCTTTAAGTTTCTCTATTCCAGTTCACGTTCTTCGGATATGACCGACTCTTCGGAGCATAGACAAACATTAGTACGGTTTGAAATAGCTAATCAAGAAGACAATTCCAGTCCGACCGATAGTAATAACAGCAACAATTCCTCTATTGGTCTATCCTTTGCACAGTCCTGGCCCTCTACACCCGAAACTTCATTCACATGCGTGGATGACGATAAAACAGATCGACTAGACTTTTACCTAGTCGAGTTTGATCGACATGCTTACAGGTCAATATCATATTTTAAATAATATGTTAAATGATTACAGAAAACGTAGTATTAATATTGTCTGTTAATACTTCTTTGATATTCAGAAAGTACATCGAAGATGTACTAAAAACTAGGGGTTTGAGAAAGAGTCTAAATTTTCTTGAGAGACTACATACTTGCGTTTTAAGGAAAGCAAGACTGACATTAGAGAAAGGTGATGTGAATGAATCTACTAATGAGGAATATGAAGGTGACGAGGAGTTGCGCCGCTATGGTGCATGGAGTCCCGAAGCAAGAGTTTTGAATCTTCCATCCTACCGGTAGAACCATAAAAACTACATGGTCATATTCTACTGCAGCACTGTTGCATTATGAAAGTTAAATTTATTTTCAGGGCTGCGTTTGTCTTTTTATCTCGAGTTCCTTTGGATGTTGTTCACGAATTTCTGAGAATGAGATTAGAACAAAAACCAGTACAACCTAGTCCATTATCTGTTCGACAACTGATGCGCGAACTTAGGGAAGGTCTTAAAATTGCGTGTATCCATCGCGACAGATTTGCTGCACATACCTGTGCAGCAATCGCAAGTGAAAATTGCGAGAATTTATTTTTACAGTGCGTGAAGGATTTCGATGAAAGTTTAAAAGCTGTTTTTGAAGTTTATCTTGATTATCTACAGCAGTGGGTAGAAATGGTACAGCATGATAGTTTTCATAAAAATTTGATTATGGACGAGTGGATATTCGTAAAATCGATAGCTGGGGATGTGCTAAATGGATACGAAATCGCTGGAGCTAAATTTTGGTAAGATTCATATCTAGAATGGTACCTTTGCAATATGGATTGTTCGTATTCGTTTTTATAGTGCGATTGCGAAAACCATGATTCAGCAAGTTAATGAGTTTCTCAATGAAAGACCTCGAGAAATTCAGGAAACCATGGAAGATTGGACTGATGATCAGTACTCCGATAGGTAAGAAAAGCGTTGGTTTCGTAGGTTTATAAATTGTTTTATAGGTACTTATATTATATCTTTCTGGTTCAGATTTCAGCTTATGTCTGTTGGTCGTGAGTGGCAAAGCATGTTTGTAGAAGCACGTGAAAAAGTTGTTAAAAGTATTACGCTTGCAAGGTGCTTAAAATGTGATATTGAAAAGTGGTCTATTTTTAGTACGAAAGTGGACGAGTCATTGACAATTTTGAAGGTAAAAGTAATCAAGAATTAAGTTTGAATCGTGTTTGAAAGAAAATTTTTATATGCAGGAAACAGTTATGGATCTTAGACACGACATTACAAATATAATTCTCAATTTTCAACGTGATCTTAAAAAAGCAAAGGAGCCGTGTACGGAATGTGAGCGGTCTGCAATGCATTCGAGAGTAAGAGAAATACTTCATCAAGCTTATCGGATGGGTTTTGATTATTATAAAGAAACGTGTAAATTATTCGCGCTTGAAGAAAAAGCGATTCTGGCCCGAAGTTTAGTTTCTTTTGCGTTTTTGTGGATGGAATTTGTCAGGACACGGTGTGAACGTGGAAGAGGTTTAAGACCTAGGTGGGCAAATCAAGGTTTAGAATTTCTAATCACAGTGTGCGAACCTCATAATACCAAACATTTAACTGACCAAGAGTTCGAGGAGTTGAAAACTAGCATGGATCGTTGCATTTCACATGTTGTTGGAAGCGCGAATACCGTTACAAACATCGAAACAGAAAGTAAGTTTATCTTTGTTTTACTTTAACTTCGGTAATGATACGTTGATTAACTTGTCGTATTTCAGACATAAAAAAATTATCTCATTCAAGAGCATCTTCACCTTGTCACACTAGAAGTAGAGCAGCAAGTATAAGCTTGTCCCAAAAACCTAAAGATGCTCTTAGATCACCTGAAATATCATCCAATTCCAAAAAAGCTTTGTCGCCAACCGTGGTAAATGGAATTGTGAACACCGTAATAAATACATCTGAGCCCGTTGTTCCGCGACAAGAAAGAATTAATCAAGCCATAATAAAGTTAGAAGTCGAAATTGATGAGAAATTGAAGGGTCGCGAGCTCATTGGACAAGTTACAGACCGAAAAGCTGTTGACAGAGTTCGCATTAAAGCGAGAAGAGTTACTTTTACTTGGCAAAGGGGTATTAAAATAGGTAGGCATATTGTAAATCCGGAACAAGTACAGTTTTTAAATAATTTTATTGCCATTTTAATGAAAAAAAATTTATTATAGGACAAGGAAGATTCGGTAAAGTCTACACCATAGTCAACAATCAAACTGGTGAGTTGTTAGCTATGAAAGAGGTTCAATTGCAACCTGGGGATCATAGGGCGATTAGACGTGTCGCCGAGGAGTTGCAAATATTTGAAGGAATTCAAGATAAACATTTAGTACGATACTACGGATTAGAAATTCATCGTGTAAGTTAACTTCCGTTTATGTAAAATTTATCTAATACTTATATTCTTGTTTATGAAACTAAACTATCTATTTTTTATTGCAGGAGGAAATGTTAATTTTTATGGAATTTTGTGCTGAGGGAACTTTAGAAAGTTTAGTAGCCGGCAGTGGTAATGGTCTACCAGAATCATTAGTGAGAAAATATACCTATCAGCTACTTTCCGCAGTAACAGTACTTCATTCGCACGGAATAGTACATCGTGACATTAAAAGTATGTTCTGCATTGTTACAACTACAACGTAGTAAAACTACAACGTAGAATTTGTTAACTATAAATTTTATGTTTTAATCAAAGCGGCGAATATCTTTTTGACGGATGAAGGCAATTGCTTAAAACTTGGTGATTTCGGAAGCGCTGTACAAATAAAGGCGCATACCACTATGCCGGGAGAATTACAAGGTTTTGTTGGCACCCAAGGTCAGATTTAATTTATTACTAACACGAAGCAGGATTCTGTTTGATGTCTAATACAAATTGTAATATCTTGACAACAGCTTATATGGCGCCAGAAGTATTTATGAAGTCAGAAAGTAGCGGCCACGGTAGAGCCGCTGATATTTGGTCGGTTGGTTGCTGCGTTATCGAGATGGCAAGTGGTCGAAGACCTTGGTCAGATTATGATTCTAATTATCAAATCATGTTTAAGGTAAATTCCATTAATTTCATTCATTTTTCTAAATAATACACATTCTTTTTGTGTTTCAAATAAGTTTAGCTCGTTGTCTTGTTATTTTATTATATAGGTAGGCATGGGCGAGACACCAATGTTACCAAAGAATCTTTCCACCGAAGGCATCGAGTTAGTTATGAAATGTTTACAACATGATCCGAAAAAGAGATGGACGGCAAGTGGTTTACTCACACTTCCGTTTGCACAGACGGATGAAGATTTTAATACTGACTTATCAGCCTCACGTTATCAAGCGTAATATTGTAAATGTTTATTTGTAGATTATATCAGTTTAGAAATATCAAAAATCTCGTTAGATTAACTGTGGTGTTAATTCGGATATATTTACATTACACCAATTTTATTCGGCCGTTCTATATGAATATTTTTACATTTTTATTGTATAAATAATTTGCTAGTTCCTAGGAAAATGTAGATATACAAAGAATAATGTAGGAACTAGGAAGATAATTTGTCAAATCCGTTTACGAAAAATGGTACTAATAGAGATGCCACAAGGAAAGTTATTGTTAACTTATAAACCTATTTTTAATACTGTTGTAAAGAATAGCATAGAAGCAGCAATTTAAATAAGTCAATTTTTAACATTCCCACCTTTGAAAAAGGTACTTGCATAATATATTCGTGTATTTTAAATTATTTCTTGCAATTTGTTCTTTTTTTTTAAACAACAAGTCAAATGCTGTACTGTGATTGCCATAAACGTTGTATTGTACAAAAATTGGAAATAAAGATGAGAGGTAGTGTTACAATTGTGTTTATTTTTGCACAAGGAAACATACACATGGTACAACATATTTGTCGCGAATTAATTAATTATAGAGGTATGCTGTGTATACTTTCCATATAAACAGAAAGTGAAATGTGTTTACAAGTTTTAATATCATTAGACATATTACATACGAAGACGACTATTACGTGAACGATTTATTTGTTGCGACTCCCTTATCGATATCTACTAGTACGATTCTATTATATTTCATAGTGCATACGTAATTATTACAATTTTTCACATTAACGACAGCAGTCTTCGCAAGGAATTATTTTCATAGGTAAATCTATAGGCTTAAGAAGATATGTTCTATTTGCTACGGTGGCTTCCGCCTGATATGCGTGATATTCTTGGCCGCAAAAATGCGAGATTGCAAGACTTGCGATTCGCATAGATACTTTCAATAATTATATTTAATCTTATCTCACGTCAGGCCCGAATACACGAACGTTTTATATATCGAGTATCATTTTCGATAAACTCATCGACGTGTGGCACACGGCATATAAAACGGTCACATAGTTCTGGCCTTAATAAGCATTAAGACTTAAGACTAAATAATAGAGAACACTTTCATATACCGTACACAAACATATGCCCGGAAACGGAGATGTGTAGATTCTTTTATTACATAATAACGCGCGCCTTGATATGTGCGGACATGTTATACATGTAATATATATTCATATATAATTTATTTTATTCAGTAACAGTACAAGGAACTACCACAATTCCTCCCGTTCGTTTAAAGATTTACTCTCTGTTTAAGCCGAAGCGGTATTGCTTAGACTTTGAATATAAAACACCTGACTTAATCAAGTACGCAACAAATTCATTACCTAAGAATGATGTAGATATATAAATACTAAATATGCACTCTGTTTTCGATGGAACATTTACGCTTTGGCGTGAGAAAACAGATGTTAATCACAATGCTAATATGCACACAAGCTATTCCAGAAAAAGTATTAGAGCCGAAGAAAGGTGATTCTGTAAGTGTTTCTGAACGACAATTTCTTTTGTGAGGTATGGTTTTTGAATTATTAACGAAAAACACTGACCAATAAGAGCACCTGTAGGGCGCACGCTAAGCCACGGCAGAGTGTCACGATTCGAACCAATCTATCCGTGGCTGGGCGCAGACCCTACGCGTGCGTCAGTATTTTTCGTTCATAATTCAGAAACCATGCCTCACTTTGCATGTTGCCAAAGGGAATTATTGTTCAGAAACGCCTCTAGAATCATCCCTCTCCGGTTCAAATACTTTTTCTGGGACACCCTGTATATGTGCGCAAGTACATACACATAAGTAGGTAGTACGTTTAGCTGATACAACAAAGTTAAGAAACAGTTTCGTAAAATATGAATAATATTAACAAATGTGCGATAATACGTAACACGTGTCGCATGTTTATGTACTTGTTACATTTTCTAATCTTGTTTTAAATTACACATAAATTGCAACAGTTCGATAGAATAGAGCGAGCGTATAACGGTGTTAGCATGAGAAATAGAGCGAACCGATGAAAGCTCGAATGGTTCGAAGGAAGAGTATTGATTTTTTTTATTATCAACAGAGTTTGGTGCTTAAGAGAAGTAGCGTTAAGTTATAATAGTAATTAATTAAACGTAGACATTGAGGTCTATTCTGACTGGAGTGTGAATTCCTGTAGAAAGAAGTTGTTGCGACAGCGGCCTGAGAGAAATACGGGTAGCTTCAGTCCTACAGTAAAGCGTATCTCATGAGTTTCATTAATATCATCATTGCATGGACCTAAGCGCAATGAATATAGCGCATCGAAACCACCCGTTTTGTGTTTATCTCGGAGATCTGTCTCTCAGTTCAAAATTCAGGTCCTGTTAGAATAGAGCTCAATGGACGTAGATCGTTAACGTGATAAAGAGATAGAGCTATCGTCAACGTTTACCGGTCTATCGAAGAAAGGTAAACCGTTGACCTATCTAAGAATTGGACAAGAGTTTACTGTGCGGGCGCCAACACACGAACGATTGGCCACGTTTAGAATGTGTTGCGACAGACGAGATCCGTGCGCTAGAAATCTTTTCTCTACCTTACCGAGTTAACATTTTTTTTTTTCAGCTTCTATTCGTGTACTCTGTCCCTTCGTTGCGTCCATCGAAGGATATTGCACATAAGAATATTGCACGACAAAGGAATCACTTCTTAAACCCAACGCAAGGCAACGATTTTATTATTAACTTGGGATCCGTGAAAACACGCGAAACCCTCATAAACGCATGCGTATCGCTCTTCTACATGAGATAACTGTTTCGAAATTAAAGAATATAAATACATCCTATTCTTTTATGACCTGATACCGGTGCAATTAAACTACTCTTAGTTGACAACGGTTTGATAAACTTTTATTTTGTACTTGGTGTTTCACTTCTCCTTAATAGAATTTTCTTACTAGACAGAATGTTTTGTTAATAATTATATATATGTATATATACACAAAATCAATGAAATTTACACCTTAAATGATCAACTAACAATAAAATCTATAGACACTCGTCAACAATAAAGAGGAATTCTATTAGTTTTGAAGGGAATCTCGTTCAATCGTTCAGCTACACACTCATAAATTATTCAAATTTCGCAACATATTTGCTGAACATCTTCAAGCTATACATATACATAGATATTTGCATCGTTTCTAAATGTACTTTAAATATTGCTAACTAATTCTTCAATTCCGTTTAACGTTTGATCTCGCTATAGCAAACGTAAAGTGGCAAGATTAAACCTGTGAAAGCACCGATAGTTCAACAATGTAAATTACAATCAACCCTCCAGTGGTTATTAGACATTAACTATCGCTAATGGTTAATGCCACAGATGTTAACTACCATAATGAATTTCTAATAATCATTAAAACCAAGTTACATGGAAGCAACTATAGTAAATAGACAGCGGATTATTATGCAAAATGAAATATGTAGAGTATCAGTTTTGTTATAAATGCATAAAATCCGCAGTCTAACAATAAACCGTTCGCTTTCGGTGGAAAGAAACTTCCAGCGCTCGGACATTTTAAACATTTGAGAACTTTTGTAATGATACTAGCGTTTTAAAGTTGTCTATTACGCGCAACGACTGTCTTTTAAACGTCTTCGTTTTATGTTCTGGTTTGGTCGCCAATTTCTCAGATAAACATTTGTCTAGATATTTAACGCGTGTATTAAATACCTTACGATTTAAGAAGCGTGAGTGCTTACGATATGTGAGACATATTCGATGCTCGAGATATGATTACGTACATGTATATAATATTTAGTAATATCATTTGGAAAGAGGACAACTTTGCTCGTAAACGCAAAATACAGAGCATCGGTAATGCGTTTACCTCGTCGTTGAAAAATTGACTTTACTAGGAAAAGCTTTATCCTAATCGTAGTGAAAATAAAATTATTTTGACGATGATGTAGAAGATCGTTAGCTAATAACATGGTCTATTTGTCGATATCAGCTTGTCTATGTCGCCCTAAAAAGGCTCTTAGAAATATCGATAGCTTCGACAAGATGATGCGTGCCCGTGCTTTTCTTTTTACTTTTACACCGAGGAATATCAAATCAGTGATATCCGCTAAACTGCGCGAATCAAGGATAACTATTACATTATAAATCTATTAGTAGTATCTAGTAACGATGTTATATCTAATATCTAATGCAAACATTTCTTTTAAATGCATACTTGGATACTACGTGATAAACGGAGGCGTTACCTACTTTCAATATCGAGATTAGATATAGGGTAGATGTACCATTTCTGATCACTGCACCATTTGTGGCTAGTACATTATTTATTCCGATATATAGGGTGTCCCAGAAAAGGTGTTAGAAAGCGAAAGAGAGGTGACTCTGGAAATGTTTCTGAATAACAATTTTCCTTGGCAAAATGCAAAGTGAGGCATGGTTTTTGAATTATTAACGAATAACACTGACCAATGAGAGCACGTGTAGGGCCCGCGTACAGCCACAGCTGAGCAGCGTTCGTATAATTTGTCCCGCACGGCTCGCTTCCTCTCTTTTTCGCCCATATTTCGATCCCTACTACTATTCCCCTCATGCGCCATCGCTGACCATGCCTAGCATACCCTCATCAAGTACCAGTCCCCACCATGGTCGCGTCGTCCCCACTTTCCGGCCGAGGAACAAATTATACGAACGCAGCAGCTGAGCGTCACAATCCGAACCAGCGTACCCGTGGCTGTGCGCGTGGCCATTGGTCAGTGTTCATAATATTTTGATTGTCTTTTATTTAGGACTATACTGATGTACTCTTCACTTCTTTATACCAATTGTTTTACTAATTACGCGGTATTATAATAGAAACTGTTAAGGTAGCCACAAATGGTACACCCACCCTAATCTGGTTTCAATATGACTTTCAATTTTAAATATTTTTATATTCTAAATGATACTTTCATAGTTTCCTTTCGAACGATTTCCTCGATTGCTTACCTTGCTTACCTTTGATTCACCTTGTTCAACATATCCGCCATGTCTCGCAAGCTTCGTTCAAGCGTTTGAGCAAACCGCGTTGCATTCGTCCTACCGTCGCTGTGAAAAGCGGATACCGAGAATATGAAGCCGCTGCTTCTAATATTGTAAGCACAGCCATAACCGTCTGGTACTACTGGTCCATAACCGATGATTGCGTCGTTTTTCGATGTTACCTGAATATTCAATGATATTCGGCTACAGTTAACATGAAGTCCTTCAAATTTATTTATATTTAAAAAAATAAAAATATTCTATATGTTAAATTAATTGTCAAATAGTAATTTAATACTCTGCAAATTTTGAAGTCGATCTCTGATCTTTATAAAAGTCTGCATTAAAACTGATGATGCAGAATGCTTATTAATGCCTTGAAATTTGCAAGTAATAAAGATGTGCAATTATTAATCGGCATCTTCCTGCTCAGTAAGAGTCGACGTAAAATCGATAGAGTC